ATTTTACAAAGCCGTTATACAAATTTTACAAACATTCAATTTGACATCCTTAATTTCTTTATGGATCTACGTGATAGTTTGCGAAGGCCAGCAGGAAGGCAGCAATTTCAACTTTGGAAAGCCTCGCGAGCGAATGGAGAACCGCGATAGAAAAGGAAAGGAGAAAAGAGGCGCGGTTTGAGACTCGAAGGACCGGCGCTCCATTGAAAGGGAACGAGATGTTCCTGTTGCCTTTGTTTTCTTTTTTTTTTAAACACCCGCCTTGATACGTTCGGCCCGTTGCGTGATTGTACGCGACGAGGCATGAATGGACGTCCCACGATCCGACCGCAAACTTTCTTGCCATTTGGAGAGGATGTGCGAAATCTTCCTCCTCGTCCCGCGGTCGGGAGCGGAAAGACCGCGTCAAGCCTTCGAAAGCGTGTCTCTCGGACGCGGTACTTGCCACACCATCCTCACGTGTTACGACATCGACGCGTCGCGCGTGTACGATCCACTTGTAACGAGACGCTTTTTTGCTGAATAACGAAACCACAGGATCGATAGGGGAACGGAGGTAGCCCTGGTCATTGCAAAAAGAAAGTAAACTTCGGTGTTACGTAAGGCATGCGCGATTTTTTGAGGTTGATGCCGTTTGGTCGTGAAGAACGAAACTAACGGGGAACGCGACGATTTTTACGAGACTTGGTACACTGGTTGGAACATTGAAAAATATTAGACACTTATTTTGTTGTATTGGCTGATACTCAAGTTCGTGGAGTGAAAACTACCCTTGAAGTTCTGAATGACATATAGTGGGTGTAGGAAGTATTCGTACATCGATCAATTTCCAAAAAAGCTATGTAAAATTGTAATTTATTAACTTATTTTTTAAAACAGTGACATTCAACATATTCTCGGAAATCTCTAGGATAGATAGAGTACCAAATAGGATAGCTATTTATATAAGTTGCGAAATTAACAAGAAAAAACAATTGTTTAATTTTTAAAACTTCATTAAAAAAAAAGATATTTACATTAATATACAAGTATATAATATTTCCTTCGTGGGATTTCCTTTTGATTTTGTAATTACTGTAACTTTTCTAAGCATTAAATTAACTAAATTATTAGTTATTCGAAATGGGATCTTTTTTCATTCCTCTATTAGAACCTTTTTTAAAAGTACTTTCCTGGAAATTTGATGTTTTCTAATTCGTACGGAGCAATAAACTAATGTGTTTACGTTACAAACTCTACTCTAAATAGTTCGTCATAAGAATTATTGTCATAATATCGCCATAAAAATACAAATACTTAATGCTTCTATACTTTTACCCACTTTTCCCATTTTTTTGTTAATTTCACAAATTATATTAACTAGTAAATGTTTGGACTATATCTATCTTAGAGACTTCCGAGAATATGTAAAATATCATTGATTATAAAATGAGAATGTAAGAGACTACAATTTCACACAAAAGTTTTTTGGGAAATTGATCGGTGTACGAATACATTCTACACCCACGGTATCTATGGGACTTTCAGATCGCATGCTAATATATCGATATCCAAATAAAATTATTTTATGAAATAATTTTAGATTTTTCTCAAGATGACGTGTACGTTTTAATTATATTAGGTTGTCTCGAAAGTTTCTTTCCTTTTATTAATAATTAATACATACACAATATTTTATGTTTTATGTTACATTACTAAATTGTGTACAATTCATTTCGCTTCATTACTGTTACAGCATCAATGTCTAAGAAATTAGATTGTCTATTTATATAAACACTGCCGCAGAAAATAATTGAGGGTAACTCACGAAAGAAACTTTTGTGACAACCTAATGTCTCTGATAATCAATGACAATATTTATGGCGATTAAAAAAATAGAAATAAATTTGAAGTAGCTAGACGAGCGTTCGATGAAGTTTTTGGGGTGATTTCCGATCGATAAGCGTTGGTTTGGAGTTGCCCCGGATGCGATCGTCTCGGGAAGCACACTTGTTCGTGCAAGCCGGCCGGTCGACCGACCTGGAGCACACGCGCACCTTGGAAACATCGCAGGTGCAGTTACCTGCTGGTCGAGTTCTTTCCTCGTTCCTCCTACAGCAGCCAATTATGCAAGTTTCACTTATTCGAAGTAACCAGGTAGCTCGTTATCTCGAGACGCGAGACCACGAGTGGGTTAAGGACATTGGGACCTGCTTTCAATACATTCCGCGATACGCATTCTTATAACACAAAAGCACACCGATAACTCACCGTTTATGGATTTTCCCTAACTCCGCTTCTTTGGTTCCATCAAACATTTTGTACATTTTTTAGATCACCTTTTCAGAATAGTTATTTCAGGACAGATCTATAAGGGTAGATCTATAAGTGCACGTATCAAGTGAACTAATTTTGAAAAAAAACATCGAACAATAGGCAAGCCCTCTCTTTTGTTAAATGATCATCACTAGGTAACAAGATGTAACCATCCCACATTTTCATAATCCTAGGAGTCGTCGCTAAGTCTATACAAAAAAAAAAGGGAGAAGCTTTCATATTTTCATATTTTGTCATATTAGTTCCTTTAGCAATACTTGACGGTGTAAATGATTACACCTCATGTCATTAGAAGAACTACACTAACATACATCCTTCATTGATCCCAGTCACTATTATCAATTGTTAAGTCAATCGCTTAAGTCAGTCAAAAAATTGTTTAATTGTTTATTGTTTTAATCGGTCCCCTCCTTAAGTGCTAATCTTTCTTCGATCCGTATGCTATATTAACACTTGGTCTACAGAGGTTTCTTATCAGATTTCTATTTCTGAAATTATACTTTAATAAATGAAATCAATTTATTAATATTAATTAGGAGGCTTGCACAAAAATGAATCTAAATATATCGCTGTCTTTTTACACGGAAAAAAGTTAGCATAAGTGACTGGTAAAAAATATAAACGGTCCCTGTGAAGCCTTGTGAAATTTGGAATGGGTCAAAATGACCGTAAATCTAATGTTAACCCTTTTTTTTTATAACTACCAGCAACTCGAGATGATTCCTTAGCGTTTTATTACCACGAATCCTAAGCTTAGATTGACTTCGAAAATGAGGTCTCTAATTTGAAATTTGAAAATCAGGTCACCTTTACCTCATCGACAATTATTTTATTGACATTTGCAAACATTATTGCTAATTGATTCACTGCGTCGAATCTAGTGGTGACCGAGAGTCACCTCTCGAGGTATAGCATCACGTTAAGATGTGACCGAGAATCATCTTTCGAACGTAAAGAGTTAACAAGAAAAGGTAAACAATGGCGACAGGAAGTATTGCAACAAAAGGACCAGTGTCCATCTTGGTGGTAGCGGAAAGCGTGCCTGGTGGAAGGCGTCTATGGTCCTGACCTACATCGGAGCAGAGTCGGTTGTAAGAGCCATAGTCCAACGGTTCGTCCCGCCGCTCAATGGATATTTGCGACGCAATGTCGGCGAGGGTTTCAAGGTCACCGGTTGGTACCCATCTATATCTAGATCCGACTAGAACGAGGTGTGGGATCAACGAGGGTGGACCCGGTTCTATGAACGCGGCCCAATAGAATGTGTCGAGCTGGCGCAGCCGCACAGACGGCTCTCCTTCTTCGCTGGTCTTCTGCCGAATCAAATCTACCCGCTGTACTAGCATGCGCGCGCATCCCTCACTCTCTTCATCGTCTCGGCTGCCTATTGGCCTCGCCGCAGCGTCCAGCTCTCGCTAACTACCAACCGAGTAATCATTAAGCAAATAGACCGCGGCGATGACTTTTCCTCCGCGGTATGCTCCAGCCGTCCGCCATTTTCCGTGGTCTCTGAGATTCTGGTAGATTCTCTCGATGCTCCTCTTCTAGAACGTCAAAGAATAGCGAATTCTCGTATAGTAATACCCCAACTACTATTATTTGTACTATTACCAACAGTTACTCCAATTATATGAACACTCGACCATTGACAATATAGACATACTGCTTTGCTCCATTTCTTGAGGAATAGGCATTACGAGAATTTTATCTGAGAAATAGATGGGGCACTCCAAAATCGTTGTTGTTGTAGAGGAACCAGCGAAGAGAGGCTGGATTATAGTCTTCTTCGCAATATGAAAATTTACTGTCAGATCGTTAAAATTTAAAGGTAGACTCGTAGCTGGTTGTTACTGGCGTACTTCTACATCGTTTTACATTTATCTTACAACTATTTAATATATTAGTATAGAGCAATTGCTCCATTTTCGAGGTCCTCGTCGTTTAATATTCATACACCGAAATACTAGCGTAATTCTGCTCCAAAATGTATCAAGGCTTACGACCATAATTACCGAGGTCTAAACGTGGACCACTGAACTGAGATACTCCACACCCTGACGACTCGTTACTAGAAGAGTGATGCTCGAAATAACTAGCCCTCTCTTCAGTATTCGACTCATCCAACATCGATTTATTCAATATCGATTCATTGAAGCAGGTCACAAAAGACTCTGCTCCAGTCTTGGACATCCTAGAGACTTTTGCTCTTGCATCCCTCGTTACCAAGATCTCTGCCATTCATCCCAAACATCTCACCAATCCATCAAACTCTTCGTAAAACATGATTCCAGAAGTATTCCGATACCGATCCGAGATACCAGGACTAGGTCTTGGCCCTCGGAGCCTCTGCTACCAACAGCGGCTAATAAAAATGTCGAGTGTGTCTCGAGATAAGAGCTGAAATGGTTAATCGAAGCTCGACCATGGCTCGCCGCGTGTCCAGATAGGGAATCAACGCGGTGAAGAAAGAAGTCGAAGCGACGAGGTGACGCAGCCGCAAGAGGAAGACCAAGCACGAGGGCAGGGATGAACAGGGCGCCCCTCCAGAGCGTCAGTTGTCCGTGGGTTAAAGTTAGTCGCGTGTTAGCGTGGTAGGCGTGGCCTCCAGGTAGCTCGAGCCGAAGAGCGAGGTGGCCGCAGGTGAGAAGAGAGAAACCTGAGCTCGTAAACGGCAGAGCTACCGGCAGACTGCGACGCGCGCTTCACGCGAGACCGTGCGTGCATCCTCCTCGGCCAGACCGAGGTCAGTCAGGGTCCTGCTCTTCGCCAGGACACTCCGAGAGAATCTTAAGAGCGATTTACAGCTGCGTCAACCCTTGCTGTTCTTCTTCTCTCTACCTTTCATTTCTTCGGACAAACCAACACGCGTATCGGTCGATCAGACGATCGATACGTCGACCAGTTCGCGAAACGGTCCACGCGGAACAAGTGTCGCGGATCTGCAATCAGGAGGAAGTGTTCCGCGCCTCGATCCCGATCGATTCGGTGCAACGAACCCGACGACTCAGTCGAACGGTCGTCGCGACGAGTCCAGTGAACGTTAAACTGGTCCCACTCGTTTGGAACCGTCTGTGGATTTGACTGATTTGTGTTAAACATTTGTGCGCGACACGGAAGCTGGAGCGAGACGTCTCGGCGACCTTACGTCCTCGCGTAGAATTACTGTTCCTCTCCATGAACAGTCGGAAGCTTTAAGGAATCGATCGTCAACCAGCCAGACGCAATGTGCGGTGAGTATCTTGGCACTTTCTGTCATCTTTTCGTAAAAAGATAGTAGGAACTCGTAAGGTTTCGGAAGAATCTTCTCGACCCTAAGTTAGATCATATATAGCTTTGTATAGTTTTTCCTTAACTCCTTAATATCTGAGTTAGAGATGTCTCGATTCCATCGTTGAATCATCGAAGAATCTTCTCGAGCCTAAATTAGATCAAATATAGCTTTGGACATGTTTTTTAGCTCCTCGATAGCTTTGCGTAAAATTTGTGTACATTCGTGATATCTGATAGCCTTGAAGGTTCAGCCACTTATCCTTAATTGACCGACAAGTAATTTCTTTTACGAGGGATAAAATTTCATTCGTGCTAAAGAGGGCTAAGTCTTTAATTGCTGCGCTTTAAGTAAAGGAGGATTTTCTTAATTGAACCACTTCTTAGATTTGCATAAATTATATGTACTATTCCCAGTGAACGAGTCGAAAGTGTTTTCACGGTTTGCCACTTTGTGTTTATTGGTCTTTGGCATAATCCGATGGTTACAGTTAGTCGGCGGGTGGGTTTGTTGCTTTTTTTATACAAAAATACCTAGTAAAGTCAGAAAGTTAATATTTCTTCGTATTATGGGAATGCTGAAGGAAACTGTAAGAAGAGGTTTAACAATAAATTCTTTTATCTTGTTTATTTTATTCTCTGTAACTGTCATGAACTTTTCTTCGCGTACTTTAATCTAATTGATGCTACTGTCTGATACAATCTACAAAAGAATTTTATATTAGTTCGTCCTGTTCATACAAGTTATAAATGTACGGTAGATTCTTTTCGATAGCAAAATATTTCTTGAATATCTTATTTGTTCCTATAATTCCAGTCATACTATATCATTTCGAGTGGTACAAGAACATGCTATCTGAAATGATATACATAGTTGGCCGCATTCTAGTAGTAAGCTAGACTAAATCTGACCAGTTTCGACGTTTTCTTCTTAAATTGAATATATATTTTCACGTTCGAAGAACAATTTCAAAAAGTTAACCACCCTTACCGCTTTATCCCTTGTCTTATTATTAGCGTATTGTTCGTTTTCATTCAAGGTTCGTTAGCGAGAACAAAAATTTAGACTAAAAAGTATTTGCTTGCTTTTTACTTCGTAGAATGATACTCATGTATAATTAGAGTTTTTATATAGATTAGATACTGTAAAATCTATTACTAAATTACCTAAAATATTATTATTACACTCGCTCGACTATACGATAAGGTTGCTTCAAACCAAAACCACTTCCAACGTTTCCCGAAATTCGTTTCCTAATGTGCCGTAAAAAAGCAGAAACGGGGAAAAGTTTTACGCAAATAAGAATGTCGAGTGACGGATAAAACATAAACAATTTCCGTATACTTATATTATTCATTCAATAAGTATTCGAACGTGAATATAAATTTAAATTAAAATTTGAATTTATTTTTGAATTTGTATATATATTTAAATATTAGTTTGAATTTGAATCCTAGAACTAACTCATGTTTTACGTTGACGAAGTAAAAACTGATCTGCGCCCTTTTTATCAAGATTGACGTCATTAGTGAAATTCCTTTACTTTCAAATTTGACGCATTTCACGATAAAAATAATAACCTTAACAAGTTCCTCGTGTAATAGGTCGTGAGTACTTGGAATATGTTTCATTTATACGTTTATCGTTGACGATGTGTCGATTCTATTTCTATATTCAACCTATATATACACAGTGTCTCGTACTTTTGTATGTTTCATGCACACTTAAGTATACGTATTTATTAATAAAATATACATGTATATATATATATATATATATATATATATATATATATATATATATATATATATAATAACGAAAGGTTCATTTATTTACAAATATCTACATGTGTATCAAACATATATCAACAGTTAAGCACACTGGCGTATAAATATGTAGAAATATACGAAAGTATATAAATTCACGAAAATCAACAAATGTTAGTAGCTAGTTTATTTATATGTAAAAATCTGTACGTTTCAACAACCATAATTTCTTTGTTACTTTCTGGTGAACAGTAAAGCTTCAAGTGTTATCGTTTCGAAAATTAAAGAGTTTGCCGAAGACGGGACAAAAATATTTAATATTTACTCCATTTCGTCGTTCAGATGTTCCCCGTTTTGGAGTGAACGTTTCCAATTTTCACCGTTGAAGAAAAGAAGTATTTGCACAACCGGTTCCGTTGTAGATACGCGCCAGATTTTAGTGGACATCTGTTGCTCGTCGCCGATTCAGAATCTTGCGGCGGAGCGGGCCAAGAAGCGTTCATTAAGCGAAGAAGAGGAAGACGTAGACAGTCATTTACATCGACACTTGTTTACACATTTTTTAATCGACCATTTGGTGCTGCTACGTCGCATTTCCGTCTGATCAACTTCGGCTTACAGGCGTTCTCAAGATTTACAAAGACCCACCTTTCGTCTGTTATTTAATTCCAATTTTAAAACTTGGAACAGCTTGATATTTCACAAATTTCTCAAGATATTATACGATATCAATCATTCCAGACGAGTTAGGATTGTTTTGCTAAGTAAGTTGAATGTTTTGACATCGTAAATGATGGCCGAAGGTCTTAAATTAATTTTACATTAATTTTACATTATGATAATAGTCACAGCTGATGTTGCAACAAATTAAATAATTTATACTTTCGATTGAAATAATTAAAGCAAACAATTTCAGATGAATCGAACAAAAATAGTAAGAGGTAAAGGGAACTTGCATACATATAGATTTTGTATAATTCGTTTTACCATTATTTAAACTCATTTAAATAACGTGTAAAATACATACAACAGGAAAAGTATATGGTTAACAAGGAAAAGAAAACAATAAACATGCATATGGAAGCATAGAACCGAGAAGTATAATTTTGGAGTAATTGTTACACAAAAGCTAACATGTTCTAAATTACGATGCTTGCGCCAGGAGATTGCGGTTTCCAATTTGGTTTGAAATTCTTCAAACGATCGATACTTGTTCGCGACGAATTGTCGTGCTCTTGCTTGTAAGTTTGCGCATTTTCCTAATCTCGAGTGATAATGTACACTCGTACGACGCATTTTTCCTCGTTTTTTTTTTGCGTGTAACAACACAAACGTCGCTAAACGCGGCGATAAGTAGCGGTCGGTGATTGACATCGAACTCGAGCACTATATCTCGTTATCTATGCTAAGTACGAACGACTTATACGTGTACCTTGCACGGTCTTGTTTGCAAATCGTAATTCAGATTTATTCAAACAACGAGTCACGATTATTAGGTACATTTACGAACGTTATCTGATGCCAGAAAGCCTTCGGCGCGACGATTACCATTTCCTTGCATTACTAGCTAGGCGATAACCCTTGACACTGTGCGAATGATAAAATGTCCTTGTCATTTATGTAATTTCTTTATATGTTTTTATAAAAAATTCCAAAATTTGTTAAATTTGTATTTCTGATTTAACAAAAGGTATTATAGTGTTCGAGACGAATTCGAAAACATAGTATACCGTGACATCTTCCGATGACCTCGAAGGCAAAGAAATGAAAATTTCAACAAAAAATAGCAACGTGCTTTTAATACATCTTTTGTTTATTATTAAGACTCGAAATTACACTCAATTCAGGAACCTTTGGCTAAGTGACCTACCTATTTTTGTCGCTACAATCTTGTACGCTTATTAAAAGACAAAATCAGCGACAACAAATATGTAGACCTTCATTTGACCTTGTGTAAAAATGTGTGTCATTAATTCCACTGCTTGTTCGAAGACGTCAAATAATGATTTAATGCCTCAGTTCTAAACAACTATTTTAAAAGGTGTTCAAAATGATTGCCATTAACTCCCATACATTCTCGAAGGCATATACTTAAAATCCACTCGCGTTTATTTCGATGTTAGAATGATTTCTTTTTTGTGAAATAGTTGATTCGCTAAATTGTTCCTTTATCAACTTCCAACAAGTAGTGGAATTAATGGCACACACTTTTCGTGATTTATTGTTCCTTCATGGCCAAGTGAGGGTCGACATATTGGAGGAACATTAAAGTTAATGTCATTTATAAATATAGAAATATAACAATAGATGTTTCTGTTAGGGATAAACAAGTTGAACTGATTTCTAAAAGAACAAATATTACGATTCAAGTTTCTTTTCTCAGAGTAGAATTGTTAACTTACAATTATTTATGAAAGTAAGACTGTGGAAGTTATTTTTAACGTACAAAGTGTTAAAGTTAAAGATATTACATTTATGAAAGTAGGAATGGTAAAGAAAGAAAAAATAAAAATCTCATGAAAAGATTTATTTCTCAATTTTCTTTCTCCGATGTAATAATATTTTTCCTGTTCTATTTGAATAAATGGTCAATTGTTACACGTGACCATAGATTCCTACCTATCTACGCTCTACAACTTCTATCTCTTACATTACTTGACACGTTAGCTTCGTTCAATTGTCGATTATTAAGTCCTGAAAACCTCGATAGGCAAATGGAAGCACGCTGACTTTCCCGTCTATCACGAACGATGTCCTACGTATAATCACAACTGTTTCCCGATTAGATGAAGTTTCCATTCTCTGAGCACAGAACGACCACACGCACGCGTAGTTCATGATATATAATTCATAGTCGTTGCTCGAGGGAGGAGCGCAATTGTGATTTTCACTATAAATCTGATAGCTGCGGCTATCTGTGACTCCCAGGAATAATGCATTAACATATACGCTCGCTTTTAACTACACTGAAAACGCGTTCCAACTCTTTCGCTCCGATGAGCCACTCTAATCGCGAAACCATCTCGGAACACTGAGGGCGAGTTTAGTTACTTGCCAAGCAAGCACGACACGTTACAATAAATAACCTTAGTAGACGATTTTTGTCACGAAATTTTATCAAAAGCAACAATAAAGGATTTTAGAAGAAGGGATTTAAAAATTAGAATTATTTTGCTGGCAAGTTGAAAGTTTTGCTGATGAAACTGGTGGTTATAGATATAAAATTAATTTTACGTTAATTTGTAGAAATTGTTACAGCTGATGTTTCAATAAATTGAGTAGGTTGTACTTCCTGTTAGAGCATGAACAGCAAGTAAACGAAATTTCACCTGGGGTTGGGCGAAAATAGTACCAGTTACAGGAGAAATACATAGAATTTAAATTTAAATCCGTATCTGTTTTATAATATATTTATATATATTACATATTTATTCTGTCATTTATAATGATATAATTTAGTGACTAAACTCACGAATGGAAATTATTTTGCTACAATTTCAAGCATTATGACTTCAAATCTAGCTATCTGTGTAATATCAATTTTACATATGATAAATTCCAAAAATAATTCCAGGTTATATTTTTACAAATTAAGTACCTTGTACTTTCCACTATATAGCATGAAGAGCATCTAAATAAAGTTTCATCTGGGTTGAACAAAAGTAGTATCGGTATAGGGAAATCACGAACGACTTTCGAATGTTATCTTATCAGTAATTAACACTTTCGCTGCGGATGACGCACATGTGCGTCCAACTGAAAATATATGGTTGTTTTTATTATTTTTCAGTTTTCATTTTTTTTTTTTTGTTCGGCAATCATATTATATATAAAATAAGTTACCACAAAATTAATAATTAATTTTCAAAATATTCATATTAGAACATTTGTAAGAAATTTATCATTAAAAAAAATATCATAATAGCCCCAGCGAACGGCTACTTATTTTCGTCCGCAGCGAAAGTGTTAAATATCTAAGTTATTGATATCGTTTGAGGTATGCAGTCGTAATTTTCCTGTTTGTCTATTAGAAGCGGTACCACGGACTTGGTATACGAAACCAGATCTCCACTGCAGCGGAGTTGGTGTTCCAGCGGGCGCTTTGTCACCCCCTGCCACACTTTCACCACCCAGCAGTCCTAGCGTGACTCTGCCACCTTCGCCTTGGAGTCCTGGCGCGACAGGAAACACCACCAGTATCGCGACATCCTCTCACCCTTCGTCGGTCTGTTCGTCGAGTCTCAATCAACCATCCTCGGATCGCTTCAGCGCTTTCACTCTCGTCTCGACGTACAATCCTGACACGAGACTTCAAACACTACCGTCAACGACCATAGCCGCGACACGAGGTATAACTATTTCTACTTTACACTTCGACACCAGCAGAAAATCGCACAGTCCAAGGCTGTACTTAAAGAAGATTATATTGAGAATTTTAAACACAGTTTAAAGCAAGTTTGTTTTCTATGGAAAAAGCAAGTTTGTATTTTTGTTTGATTCTCAATCAGATCTTTATTTGGATGATTTTACATTATTTGTATAATTCCAGTAGTTAAAGTTTTCATATTCATTTCTTCGTTACATTATTTGTATAATTCGAGTAGTTACAGTTTTCATATTCATTTCTTCATATTATATTCAAAATAATAATAAATGTAAGTATAATTTCAAAATTAAATAATTAAATATAAGTTTGAATGCTCCATATTTAAAAAGAATTAGAGACTGCGATTTGGGGGGTGTTCCTGATTAGCGACAGACCCAATTGGCAATTCCTTCTAGAGCTGATACTTTGAAGGTTTCGTCAGTAGTCGATAGGATTGTGCAAGCCGAAATCTCCTGGATTTCAGAACTGCGGTGTGGTCTGATGTACGGTGGTTATGGATCAGCAGGGGCTACCTGGTGGGCCCGACACGTGAGTCTCTTGCTGCCCCATTCCCTGCTGCCATCCGCGAGAATCCCAACTCAACAAACTACGCCAGTCACGAATTGTTCGCCCGTTCACCTGGAACCACTCAGCCCATCCAGATCTGGCTCGCCGCGAAGATGTACACCAGAGAAAACTAAATTCGGTGAGCATCGGTCCTATATCAAAATGAATTTAGGGAGTTAAAGAGATTGTTTTAAGGTCTATTTACACGTATCCGTAACGTGTCAGTTCCGTATCCGTTCAGTTCCGTAATGTTCCATCAGTGTCAGTGATTTTAAATATTCTTCTGTTGTTTTTGAATGAGCATGTTCACACACGTCCGACACCGCTCCGTGACGTTCTTGATACGGTACGGATACGGAACTGACACGTTACGGATATGTGTAAATAGACCTTTATGATACTCCCTTACAACGTTCATCTTACTAATAAAGACGCTAAATAAATATAAATAAATATAACGCATTCATCGCAATTACTATGTGCAATCCAGGCGACACTGGCAAATGTGTGCGGGAGCACGTTCGAAAACCAAACCCCCTTGCCGATAATTTCCGTTCATAACCGGACGACAACGATTTCATTTTGTCAGCAGTTTGCTAATTCCTACTTAATTATCGCCATTAGTGTCTACGCTTGTCGTTATAAGCGATAAAAGGCAAACCTGCCAACTAAACGAATTACGAATCCTTCACAGTGCCATGCAACGTTTTAATTTCGAAAATTACCACCCATTAGCACGCAAATCTTTTTAATTTAGTTTTCGATAAAATGGAGATAAATTGTGATAAATTACGAATTTCTACTGAAGGAAAATGGACGGGTTCCATTCAATTCTTTTCCTCGATATTGTCGAAGTTTATTATCTTATGTTAAGATTATTATAATCTTATATAATTAGATTTAATTACATAACTATGTTGTATTTAATATTGAGTTGACTTATTTTGAATATTATCAATCGAGAGTAGTCATTAAATATGCGAATGAATATTCGTTATTAATTCTCTCAATAATATGTTTCGACAGTATTTATATTTTGATAAAAGTAATCTCACCGAGGATGTTAATATTGTGAACCCTAATTTGTACAAATAAAATGATGCAATTAATTATGTACGTATCGAACTAGTCAATTGTTCTCTGCAATATTTTACTTTTTTCCTTTAATCTATCCTTTAACATGTAACGATGTTGAGAATGGTAACACTAGTATATAGGTTAAACCCATCGGTGACACAGTGACTAATAATCATAATGAGGAGATTATTTCCACTAGTGCACGTTATAAACAAGTTCAGTTCCACGTAATTAGCATATCACCAACAACAGTACAAGTACATGAATTTTGAAAAATAAGTGCCAGTTTGTCAGTTCGAGCGTCATATATTCAGGAGTACATATTTTCAATCAAATACTTAGATTCTCTTCAGGGTATACTTATAATTTTACCATTCCAAAAAATATTGTAATTACTTAATTAATATAGTATAAGTAATTAACGTTAATTTTTAATAAATTGACATATCGTAGAATTGATCATTTGTTATTGGAATATTTTATTGTGAATTTTAGACGAAGAGGCGCCGCTGAATTTGAGCACGAAACCTGGCGATGTTTTGTCCAGTGTCGAGCGAAAAAGTAAAATTTGGTCACCAGGAACAGTCTGCGAGAGAGAAGCAAAGGAAACCAGGGTGCCTTCCTCGAGGAGTCCCTCTTTGACTCCTGTGGTCACCAGACAAATTCATCATTCACCACTGACGCCGCCCTCCTCGACGGAAAGGACTTTCCAAGTGAGTCTTTTGTGTTCAAATCCACTTTCTTCCGTTTGCTCCATTAACACAATTTCATTTTTATTTCCGAAATGATCTTTATTGATCCAATCAACGTTTAGATAATAATTTTTATATGGACAAGTAAAATTTATGTTTACATCAACGTTTCCTCTTTAAGATGACAAAACAGAGTCAACAGAGTCGAAGTATGAAGTGTAAAATTGTTGAATAGGTTTTCGAAGAACGCTACCGATATCTCTCTAAGAAATCTCAACCGATGAGCTTGCTCGCCAAGCACAAACGTCTAGCATTCGCTTTTGGTCTCGTGGAAAGTCAGCTTTACGACTCCGTAAACACTCGTTTCAGACGTTTTACAGGTTCGACACCCTCGAGCTTGTTAAGTGTACCGCGGTCAAGTAGTAGAGCACCCTAATAACACCAATTCACAAGTATATAGGTGTTTGTTGGATATAAATCATATTTTATGACAAAGGGTAGCCTGCTCACCGTATTTAAAGACATTCAGTATATATTTATTAGGTGAGATTAATTTTGTGCTTTTGAACGTCAGACCATTTATTTAAAAAGGAAAACTATCTTTTAATCTTTCGTCGCAACCTGATGGCAATTGAACTTCCTACTTCAAAAAAGAACTTCAACTATATTATTACTATTTACATGAACAATTTCATCTTTATCAATCCTGCTTGGAGTGATATTTTTAATTTTAACGAAACTATTTACAGAAATAATATTTATTTAAACATTCTAATTTTATTAATGACTTGCACGTTTATCTATAACACTTTTACTTTTAAATACAACCAACTTCAACGTTAATAGTTCTGCTTTCAAGAAACATAATGATTCAATTTTAATATTCTTTTTTTATTACGGTATATTTATATTATATTATAAATAATATTTTAAAGTATCAACATGGAGTGCTCGAATTCCATCAATTCATAGCACGCAGTTATCCAGGAAACATTTGGTTAGGAGCGCGTATCGATCGGCAAACGCTAATTGTTGTACAATTGCACGGTACAGATGATCTCGATTATAGTCATTTAAGCCGTTCTCCCACGTAAGCGACGCGACGGCGACACGATCGAGAAAATTATCACTTGACAATCGCTTGCATACGAATCGAACATTTTCATATACATTGCATTCGTATGTGCTTTATCCACTAATACTACCGTGACATGATGTTTAGGAATCCGATCGCCTGACAATTGGCCATGCCAGTTGCTCTGCAATGGTCGCGTATTATATTAGTCGCTCGAGGATTGCGACATTTCGACCAGTGTTGAGCGAAAAGCAGTGATAACGTAACGTCAAATGTGAATTTCTACCGATACTATATATTTAATATTACATTAGAATTAAATTTATTTTATATTGCACCGTTTGCAAGTCGATTAGTTCATAAACTAATAATAAATTTTCTTAATAATCAAATCATGTCTTTTTGGCCTGTGAATAATATACAATTAATTTCGTAAGTCACTTCGATTAACCAAACAGTAACTTTTGAATGGAATGGTATATATCAGATTTATATTACACATGTGTTGAAATAAACAAATATCGTTTTTCCGTAGTATACTGCAATTGAAACGACTAAAAATAATCTAGAACAAAACGAAATTGCGCAAATCATACGGGAATTATATTCGGAGCTAACAGAAAACAAAGAAACGAAAATAACAATAGCATGGATACCATCTCATCAAGGTATTCCTGGAAACGAAAAAGCTGATCTAGCAGCCAAGGAAGCAACAAATAATACCACCAATCACGAAATACCGATCCTTCTGCAAGATATTAAAAGACACTTACGCGATTGCATCAACGAAAAAATGAAACAATATTTGGAAAACAGAAAAGACACTAAAAATCCATAGAATAACAGATGACTTTTTCGAAGAATCACCCACAGGATACCTCAACAGACTAGAACAAGTAAAAATTACGCGCATCAAAATTGAACATACAAATTACACGCATAAACACCTACTTGAGTAGACCATTAAACCCACATGCCGTACATGCAACGAAATTCTAAAAATAGAGTACGTAATATTTACTTGTAAAAATACGGAACCACTCCGCATACAATACGAACTACCCACTAGTTTAAAGGAAGCATGGAGCACAAAAGAAAATTTAAACAAAATAATTCAGCTACTTAAAGATGCACATATATGGGCCAACATCTAACATTGGAGAAAACCTCATAAGAAACTGTCGCTAATAACCAAAGGTTGCGACGTGAAATATGTAATAAAAAAAAAAATGTTGTTTTTGATATTCACTATTTTATTACCAAACTTCTAGGACCATTCACAAACGTGCTTCTCTCTTTTATTCAAAGATTGACGATTTGTTTCCAATGTTTATTTAGAAATATTACCAAGTGTACTTTGAAACATACCTAAGGTATCCTGAAAGTTAATCCAAAAATTACGAAAAAAAAAACACTTAAAAGTTGACCCCCTTAAATTTGAATGATTAAATATCTCACGAAGGGATCAGCCTATCAAGAAAGTGTTTTAACGAAGCTTTGACCATTTCCATTTATACATCGACGCTTTAATTGTTCCATTCGGCGTTCCAAAATACCCATTCAGACGAGAATATTCATCTCTGGGTTACGGTTGATGAGTCGCTTCGCGGCACTCGGCGTTCCGTTGAATCGTATATTTGCATACGAGGAGAAATCTGTCCAAGTCACGCGATGGGAGTTTCGCGGTGGTGCAAGTGCCCTAAAGTACACCACGGAGCGGCGAAGAAGAGGGTCAAGCGTTTGACGAATGTCGGAACTCGACAAAAGCCAGCGGCGCAATTACGGCTGATTGAATGGAAGTAGAAACTCGCTCGGCTACAGTTTTACGCGTGACACGTAACAGCGAGTGGACATATTAGGATATCTGGGGCACACGCGCGTCATACGATCCTGATTCCGACCGACAAAAGCTTCCCTATAGCCCCCCGCAACCCCTCCTCCTCCTCCTCCTCCTCCTCACCCTGCATCAAAACCGGACCGCGGCTCTTTCCGTTCGTTCCTCAAAAAAAATTTTCCACAAACCGTCCCGAATCTCGTGCCCCCGTCCGTGCCCCATTGGAAACGGTTCGAATTTCGCAACACGGAAACCGCAACCCCGACACTCGCAATTACCAGGCGAATTTCCTTTCACGATTTTCAAAACGTTCGCGATTAACGTGCCACGTATCTGTACACGCACGACAAAAGGCGATACGTGTCGTTTATCATCGACGTATCCTCCTCCTCTCGAAGTAGGTCGGGCACGTTTGTAACAATGATGGCGCGAATCAAATTTTTCTTTCGCTTCCGGTGCAACAGGAACACCGATTGATTCAGACGTCCGCGTGTAAATGGTGTTTTATTGAAGGGGAACCTAAGTACTAGGTATGCCTGAAAGTTTCTTTCCTTTTATTCGTGGGCAGTATGGAGTATCCTCTGTTTTATGTTGCATCACCGACAAGGGAAGGCTCAGAAATGATACTCAACGATTGCAATGAAATTTGGTAGAGTGATAGATCTATATCTAGAATAAGCGTAACTGTAATATTAACCACAGATGGTCAGTCATTTTTGAGAAAAGTTAGTTTAAATATGTAGTAAAGCCCATAGCGGGATGCATTCCTATTGCTAACACAACTTCAAGCGGTATAGGTCAGTGTCACAGTGGCCAGCATGCTATGGGCTTTTACTACATATTTAAACTAACTTTTTTCAAAAATGACTGGCCACCTGCGGCTAATATTACAGTTACGCTTATTCTAGATATAGATCTATCACTCTACCAAATTTCATTGCAATCGGTGAGTATCACTTCTGAGCCTTCCCTTGTAAGGTTTACGTGGTCCACTTTGCTGTGTCCATTTATTCGGGAGCAAAGTAACATCAGCTTTTCGAAAATTTTATAGTTTGCTAGGAAAATATTGCTCCATGTGGATTTTTAACAGACTTCGAAAAGAAGCAGTTTACTCGATTCGACATGTATCTTTATTTTTTGTTTGTTTATATATTTGTCCGCCGATTACGCCGAGATGGCTTGACCTGCTAGAAAAAAGACAGCTGTGTGTAAATCGCGAAGGAAACTTTTTGGACAACCTAATATGAAGTTAAAGAATTTCTCGTGGAATGCAACGATTCCTGAGTATCTCGAATCGCGTCTGATCGACAACGACGACACCGCCGGCGGCGGCGTCATTCCGAATGCGCCTTGCGGCGCACTGCTTACTGCATTTGGACGACATCGAAGAAGTTCACCGAAACTCGTTCGCCTGTCCCTTTGGGAGACCGTAGAACGTGTAATGGTTCCTAAAGAGCTGATAAATCGTCGGTACCGAGGTTTCTTCGTAGAAGCATCGTTCACCTCAAAAAACCAAACGCTCTGTGGCTCGTTGAGTTTAATTTCCGTCGGTGCATTTGATGTTCGAATGAAACAATCTTAAGCATGACGAAACGTTCGAGAAACGATTCGAATAGAAAAGACGGTTTCTCCAACTTGAATACGCAGATAATAATAGTAATTTAATTTTACTGCGATAAGGGGATGAAACTTTTAGGAATTTGGTGACAAAATAAATTTTATTCTCACGAAGGGATCAACCTATCGAAAAAGTGTTTTAACGAAAGCTTCGATCTTTTTCATTTATATTTCAACGCGTTAATTGTTCGTTCGACTCAGAATGAACTATCGAGAATGTTCATCTCTGTCCTACGGTTGATAATAATAATTTAATTTTACTAATTCGATACGGTCAATTTCCAAAAGAAAAATGAATAGAATGCAGGCAGCGAAACGTCGTGCTGAAAGGGTTAAGACACACCACGCGTATCGATGTAGAGCTTTCCAACGACGCCTGTGGCTGAAACATCAACGCGGCTGTCCTCTAATTGCAAGAAGAGCGGAAACCCATTAAAAAGATTATCGAGGGTCAAACACCGTGCAGAATTAATGTCGTTGCAATATCGTTTCTTATTATTGATCGACGAGGGTCGTGAATCATGCGTACTGGCGGGTCGCGTCTACCGGTACCGGTGCACACTCATAATAATATTCAGCGATGGCGCGTTCGTACGCGATTCCACGCATGTACCTATGCGTGTATCGTGAAAAGAGACACGCCTAGGTCGGCAGCATTGTGAGGACTGGCGCCCATGCGACAATTAGTCGAGGAGAAAAACCGTGGCTCTGTGAACACAGGTGCGCCTGGCGCGACCGTCTCCTGGACTATCGTATTCCTTCTGCAACATCTTTCGCACCGATTTCGATCATCGAACCAACCCTTCGTCTATACCAGACCTGGACTAGTTTCGATTTAAATGGAAATGACAAATAATTGCAATCAAACCTTGGTAACTTCAACCTCAACGGGATATTCGATAATAATAATTGAATAGTAATATTGGAATAGCAATATTCGATAATGACGTTTGAATGGTAAGATTTGAATAACAACATTTCTATAGGGATATTCAAATAGTAATGTTAGATTAATAATATTTCGATAGAAACGTTCGAAGAATGATATTCGAGTGGTACTATACAAATAATAATATTAGAATAATAATATTTCACTAGGAACGTTTGAAGAATGATATTTGAGTGGTAGTATTCGAATAAAGGTATTCGAGTGTTAATATTCAAATAGGATATTCAAATAGTCATGCGAAACATACTCTTTACAAACGAGCCCACACAAGTTGTATAATCTACTAAAATATTCAATATGCACCTAATCTTCAAGTTACACCAAGCTATATTATATACTCCCACATATATTCATTTTCTGTTTGTCAAAAATACGTTACAACTGATTATTACATACGTATTATCTTGTTATTGAATAAACAATTATAATACATAACTTCCTGTACACATGAAGATTAATGGTACCCGCTTAAAAAGAAAACAGTAACGCCGTCCATTATCTCGAACAAAAAATAATGAGTATCCATGCTCTTATTCTGCTCCACCCTGCATTAAAAATATTAAATTGTTCGAATAGTCCCGACGCTATTTTAAACACGGCAGCTTTTTGTTCTGTTCCAGTGCAAACAGTGCGGGAAAGCCTTCAAACGGTCGAGTACGCTCAGCACCCACCTTCTGATCCACTCCGACACACGACCGTATCCTTGTCAATATTGTGGAAAGAGGTTTCATCAGAAGTCGGATATGAAGAAGCACACGTACATCCATACTGGTGAGTCTGGCTACCATGTTTATTTGTTGTTTGTTATGATGGTTAGACCCCTGAAACTTGGTATACAGGGGTTTTCTCGGGGTCTCTGATTCCAAATCTAAACTCAAAATGTATAAATTCAAAATGGCGGACCCAATATGGCAGAACCAAAATGCGAAAAGTGATTCGATTTGGATGAAACTTGGTGTACAGGGGTTTTTGATGGATCTGATTTTAAATCTGAACTCGAAATATAGAAATTCAAAATGGCGGGTGCAATGTGGTAGGACAAAATGCAAAAAGTGATTAAATTTGGATGGAACTTGGTATATGAGAGTTTTCGAAATCGTTGATTACGAATCTGAATTCAGAATGTAGACAATCAAAAAGGCGGATGCAATATGGCAGAACCAAAATGCGAAAAGTGATTCGATTTGGATGAAACTTGATATACAGAGGTTTCTGATGGGTCCGATTCTAAATCTGAACTCGAAATATAGAAATTCAAAATGACGGACCCAATATGGATTCGGATGGAACTTAGATGAAGGAAACCCTAATACCTCAAACCTTTGCATAACATTGCTGACACTCATAACACTAAAATACTAAACATCGTACCATGAAAAATTTACATTTTTCCCTTTGCACGAACAAGAAAAAATGACGAGACAGTGAACGTGTTAGGGAGAATACAAGTCGTTTACAAAGTCGCGTCTTCGCGGCACTTTGCATAGTTAGTGGGACTGCTTTCGACGAGAGTTTCACGGCTAAAGGTAGAGAATTATCGAGTCGACGACGATAAAACTTCCTTCGCGAGCGTACGCGTCTAAAAGCGCGACGAACTTTCAAATCGAAGAAACTTTGGCGGTTGTTGTTGAATTATTCACGCGAACCGTCTCGTGTCTAATACGCTCGTTCGCCCGCTCTATTATTCAGGGTATCATTGTGCCGCGCGATCGTCGAAAGCTTCTGCTACCTGAGCAAGTACCATAGGAACGCAGTCTTCAAGCTTGTTTATAACTTCTCGAATTCACTTCTCCGGAAAGTATCAACGAGCTTCGAAGTAACAATTAATTTTCAAAACCGAATTAATCCTCGGTCACCACTACTTTCGACGCAACAAATCAACCAACTATAATGTTTGTTTATTAATTTCTTTGGAACTCGAGGTGTCGATAAAATGATTGATCTCAAATCTCAAATTACAGATCTGATCTTCGAAGTCAATCTAAGCTTAGCACCCGTGGTAATAGAATGCTAAGAAAGCATCTCGAGTTGCTAGTAGATATCAGAAAAAAAGGCCTCGAATGCAAAGGGCCTCGAGTGCAAAGAACCTCGAGTGTAAAATCATCGACACCAATGCACTACGTACGCACCCTCAACAGCGTAGCAGCCACATCTTCTTTCCTCACACGATAAATATTTTCTGAAACACTAATGTCCATTAAACGCATAGAAAAAGAGTTCATTTCGATCGAGCGTATAGTGCTGTCGCAAAAAATTTATGGAAGCAGCCCTTAGGGTGTCGCGCCCCCGTAATCTAAATCTGTTGAATCGAGGTTTCGCTGCGTTTGATTGAACGAAGCGTTATCATTGGCGAAACGAACGCTTATCGCATCTGGTAGGGATCATGCACGTACGGTTAGTGTAACGAGCGATACCGAAAAAGCTTTTGTCGTGGCTCGACGTACAAACCGCGCCTTTTTGATCCATGCGCCGCGTGCATGTTAACGCGCACTATACAATGCGATAGAACGCATCCTCGGCAGTGTCCACCCACGCTCGTCGCTCCTCTGTCTAACGTGCGTCCTATTTACGTGTGTACGTAACATATCGCGGACGCAACCCGACTGTCATATGCCTGTGAATCACGCACGGATCGTACAGTTTCGTACTCGCGGCATATTTCTATTTTTGTTGCCATCGCTACATGTGTTCGACAGGAAGCCTGGACGAGAGGGATTTCACAGTGTCGTACCGATCGCGAATTTCTCTAGGGGAAGCTATAGAATTCACGCGTCCTCTTTCGTTACCGGGTCAAAGGGTACGAGATTATATTTTCTACGGGTTAATCCTTAGAAGCCTGATTTTCCAAATTAAATTTAAAAAAGTATCAATGTAATTATTATTTGAACAATTGTGACAGTTGACGTTTATTTTAATAACTTTTGTTTAAAAGAACATTATGCTATGGTAACATACATACAGCCAAATATTAAAAGCAAACCAATTGCAAGTGTACAAATCGATTTAAAAGTCCGGTATCAAATTTGAAACTCATATGCATAGAATAAGAATCGTTTACAATCGACCGATTTGCTCGGAATTCTTACTCGCTTTACGTTTCTTTATTATACAAAACTTAATAAACATCCCTTTCTGTGCGTCGATAGAAAACAAATTCAACATAAGATTTGACCTCTTACCGAAATCAATGACACATGTGCAACATTCGCATATAAAATTGAAATGAAAATTGTTTTTCTGTTATTCGACATATACGTAATAAACGTCAGAAAACAGATCTTCCATCGAGTTAATTGTTCTTGAAAAAAAAAAATGTTCAATATCTATAACTACGATTCCCACGCTTCCAAGTTGGCTCCTCTCCTTGAATCGAAGAGCTTGAAAAAAGGGAGGAAACTTGGCGAGCTTCCCAAGGTAAAAAATGTAAAATGTAGTGCTTGAACGTTTCTTAATTAGATCCATTCGATAAGCCGGAAGAAATGAAGATCAGCATAATGAATCGAGATCAGCTTTAAATTTGATTCGTTCGAGCCACGTGCGTTCCATTGAACTGTGACAAACATATTGGCGGATCATAGTCATACTTTTATCTGGGAAATATAGCCACATGTATTATGTACAACAAGTTGTCACGCGAGCATGGCTGTGCTTTTCCATGGTAAATCGACGTGGCATAAAATACGTTCGCCTTACACTGCGTCGATCATTTAGTAATGATTTGAAAAAAAAAAAAGGTATTGCTAAAGAGACGAAGAACTTCGATACGTTACTCTTTCATGTCGCTGATTAGAGCATTGGTGTTACCATATCTAAATGTTGAACTCAATTATGATGCACATTGCGTGTATCGTCATAGTGTCAGTCATTTTTGTAAACGATATTCTTAAAAAGGAAAAAGAATGTAATTATTCAACGGAAAGTTTTAAATAATAAATGAAAGACAAAATACTTTTTATGAACTACGGAATGAAAATTGACATCTCAATTATAAAACCACTATTTTTCAAACGATATTTATATATTTTAAAGAAACGCTGTTTGTTGTAGGTACACGAACCATCGAGATTTTTAGCAAATGTTTATTCAGATTACACATTAAAAACATCAAACAAGAAGCAGATGATAACCTACTTTTACTTATTAGATAAAAATTAGGACCCAGTGTCTATTATAGACTAAAATTATACTTTAATACGAACAAATTTATCTGAATAACTTTTCGGAATAAATTGCTATAGGTTGCTTTATTCAAATCAAGGTTTATGCATCTTCGACCACAAGAACTTGACAAGTGTACGAACACTTAACATTTGTCTGCAGAAATAATGGATCGTTTATAGTATGAATACTTCGATACTCCCCTTGGTAGGTTATCTGTGGTAGATGAGCCGCCATTAGTGTCCTTCATAATTCACCAGAAATCATTATCTGTCATTCGACGAGGGCTGCTAAGTAAAACGAATGCAATAATTCATTTCAAGAGCCAGAAAAACGACTTTTCCATAAAACCCTTGTGAAATATGCAACGTCTTTCTAAAACGATTATTACCTGTAAAAAGAAAATTGTTAGTAAACTATAAAACATTAAAAACATTCTCAAAGCATAATGGGGTACTATGCAAATTTTATTATAATGTATCCGTTGATCTTCCTTCAAGATTTCCTACAATTGTTTAATTGCTTACAAAAGGGCGTATTGCATTGATGGTACATAACAGTGAATAATAACCAATCCATAGTTGAGGTTTTCTGTTAGTTGTAAAAATATAGATTTTTATTAAAATTCCTAAATAAATCTCCATATAACAAAAGAGACTTTTCAGGGGTAGTTTAATTGTAATATATTATTCAAAAATATTCTTAATCGAACAGTAAAGTTTGCCTATCAGTTTTAATAATGGAGATTCGTCTGTAATACAAAAAGAGATCCTGATATGGCAGCAGAAACACTTTAGGGACGATTTAATCGGGGTTCTCCCTCGGAAACAACCGGAAGGAGTACACGGCTGATGGGAAACACACTGTTTGTCATGGTCTAAGGGAGTTTCCGGTTGGACACGTGCCCGCCACGAGGCTGGCGTTCCTTTTCTAATTAGCGTCAGCACCGCTAGGGGCTGAAACCACGCTCCCCCTTTAATCCAGCCGTGTAAACGTTTTTGGCCCCCGTTCCACAAACCGCCTAATGCAAATTTAATCGCTAAATATTATAAACGATTTTATTCAACAAGATAATTCCATGTACTATTCGCAATATTCCTTTAATCGTTAGAAACAAATTATTATTAAGGTATCACTGGGATATTCTACTTCATTCCTCGTACTCTTCAGACATTGCACTCTGTGATTATTATTTTTTCCTTTATTTATTCCTTTCGTTAAAAAATTCTCTTCATGTTAAAACGTTTAATTCAATAAACGACGTGGAAATGTACTTGGAAGACTATTTTGTTACCAAACCAGAAAGTTTTTGAAAAAATGGTATCACACTGTTTCCAAAGAAATGGAGGAAGGTAATAAAGTAAAATGGATCATATAGAACTTACTGTCAATAATGTTAACCCTTTGCACTCGAGAGATTAGGTTTCACGCAGCAAGTCTACAATACCTAATGTTTCTTTTGTATCAATAAAATGATTGTCGGCGAGGTAAAGGTGACCTTATTCTCAAATCTAGATAACTTAGAATTCATGGAAATAGAATGCTAAGAAACATCTCGAGTTGCTGGTAGATTAGTAAACTTTTTGAACAACCTAATATGTGTCGATATCCCT